GCCTGATACACACAAGAGCAAGACTGGGGTTCTTGTTCCTACAGGAACGTGAGGGCCTGAATCCAGGTTTACACTAAAAGTGATTTTTAGTAGGGTTAGTAGGATTGGATCCAAGTTACCTGACGGCAAATGCACCTGAGATATGTTTGGGGTTTTGCTTTTGGTGGGCTTTCTCCCTTGWTTGTTTGTTTGTTTTTAAGTGTTTGGGTTTTTTCTTTGCTCTTTAAGCCATCTGAGGATCTCTCCCTGGGTTCCATGCTGAGGATGGTGGTTCTGTGCTKCGATTCCTCTGGGCTTTGGCTCAGCCCAGGGCTCATCTTGGCCCCAGCCTGGGGGGACCCTGCACCCACTGAGGTCTGACCTTGTAGYTTTTGTGACAAAACCCAGCTTTGCATTCTCCAGGTGTGCTCCCTGAACAGTGATGCTGATGCAGGAAGGCAGCAATGATTATTTYGTACTGCTCCTGGCAGTGGTTTCAATATTCTTATTTTCTGTTCATTCCCAGCACTTCCCCTTTTCAATACTGCACTTTTTTCCTTTAAYACATTGCTTTTGTTTCTGTTGCACTTATTTGTTATAAATACATTATTGTCTATTGGTTGCACAAATGTTTTTTGGGAATATTTTCTTCAAAGACAGGGAAGGGGAAGAAGAGAGGTTTTCTTCTGGTTTTGGGACCGGCCAGTGCTTCAGGTCCACCAGGGAGGCAATTGCTGCCCTTTTTTGCCATCTGCAGAGGATGGGGCATGGAGCAATCCTCCCGGGGTGTGGGGTGATGTTTGCAGTGCTCCCCAGTTCCGTTATCCCAAACACCCCGATGGGTAAAGGTGAGGAGATGTAATCCTGGTGCTGCTGTGTCTCCCTGGCTGTTTCACTCCTTTGGTGAATCCCCTGGCTGCTGCATTCATTTCGTGTCTCCTCTGACCCTGGAGCCCTGTGCTGTGTCCTCTGTGGGACAGAAAACCTGGGGCTCGCTGAGCTCTTCCTGAGCAATTTCTCCAGTGCATCAGACACAAACAATCTTTCTTTCTGTGCGTCTCATCCTAATTATGTTTTTTTTCCCCTCTAACCCATTTTTGTTAAAGCTGTTGCCATGGGCAGTTGTGACAGTGTTCTTCCATCATTACTGTATAGAGGAGATCTGCTATAATTATTGYTTAAACTGAGATTTTCTTAATTGAGAATGTGAAAGCATACATTGACCCCATGTGCTGTTTTTGGGCCGGTCTGAAATGCTCTGTCTGGGTCATCCTGCTGTCAGGGCAGGCTCAGGGGAGGCACGAGCCATAGTGCTGTGCATTTCAAACTTTGC